CCTAAGAATGATGGGTCATGGAGAATGTGTGTTGATAGTCGTGCTATCAACAAGATCATGATCAAGTATCGCTTCCCCATTCCTCAGTTAGATAACATGCTAGATATGATGACTGGAGCAACACTATTCTCTAAGATTGATCTTAAAAATGGCTACCATCAAATTAGGATCTGTCCGGGAGACGAATGGAAAACCGCTTTCAAAATCAAAGATGGACTATACGAGTGGACCGTGATGCCCTTTGGCCTGAGCAATGCTTCAAGTACGTTTATGAGAGTGATGACCCAGGTCCTCAAACCTTTCCTAGGAAAATTTGTAGTGGTCTACTTTAATGATATTCTGATTTATAGTAACTCGGTGGATCAACACTTGGATCATTTAAGGCAAGTCTGCAAAGTCTTGAGGAAAGATCAATTATTTGCTAATCCCAAGAAATGTACATTCCTTATTGATCACGCAATCTTTATTGAATTTATTATATCCTCCCAGGGCATAGCAGCTGACCTTGAAAAAGTGCGAGCAATCAATGAGTGGCCTGAAACTAAGAACATCAGAGACGTTAGAAGTTTTCACGGATTGGTCGCGTTTTATAGAAGATTCATTAGGAATTTTAGCACTATAGTGGGTTCGATAACTGACTGCCCGAAGAAATGAGAGTTTCATTGGACGGCATCTGCCTCTAAAGCCTTTGAGGAGATAAAAAAGAAAATGGTTGAAGCAACAATCATGCGTCTGCCAGATTTTTCTAAGGTTTTTGAAGTAACTTGTGATGCATCTGGCATAGGCATAAGAGGAGTATTATCTTAAGAAGGACACCCAATTGCCTACTTTAGTGAAAAGAGATGTACGTATTGTTAACTAAAATCTGAAACTCAACGTATTATCTTAAGAAGGACACCCGGTTGCCTTCTCCCACTTGAGTTAGTTATCTTTTCTGACCATGAAGCCTTACGTTATATAAATTCCCGGAATAAACTCAACACTCGACATGGTCGTTGGGTTGAATTTCTTCAAGAGTATACCTACACGATCAAACACAAAGAAGGATATGAAAATGAGGCAGCCGATGCTTTAAATCATCGAATCATGGTAACTAGGAAGATGAGGACTGAAGTAATTGGATTTGAACAAATCAAAGAGACTTATATGGATTGCCCTGACTTTAAAGAGATGTATGCATTGTTAACTAATGGGAGTGAACGTATAATTAATGACTTCCTTTTAGAGGATGGATACTTATTTAAGTCCCAAAGGCTCTGCATCCCCAACACTTCGCTTAGAGAATTCCTTGTTTGGGAACTACACGCGGGAGGTTTAGCAAGACATTTTGGATAAACCAAAACCATCGCCGCTGTTGAGCACCAATTTTTCTGGCCTAGTCTTAAGCGCGATGTCTGTAGGTTAGTGAAGAGATGTCACACTTGTCAGTTAGCAAAGAAACATAAGCAAAACACTGGACTTTACAAACCCCTTACGGTACCCAACTACCCATGGCAGGATGTTAGCATGGACTTTGTTTTAGGGTTACCCAAAACAGTGAGAAAGCATAACTCTGTGTGTGTAGTAGTAGACTAATTCTCTAAAATGGCTCACTTCCTCCCATGCTCCAAAACTTTCGATGCTTCGAGGATCACCAAACTGTATTTTGACGAAATCGTTAGACTCCTGGACTACCCAAAACTATTGTGTCAGATCGAGATGTTAAGTTTACTAGTTATTTCTGGAAAATCTTATGGCACAAGATGGGGATCAAACTTCAATTTTCTACTGCTTTCCATCCCCAGATAAAAGGACAAACTGAGGTTGTGAATAGGAGTATAGGAAATCTGTTAAGGACCATGGTAGGAGAAAATATCCGGGATTGGGATTCCAAATTGCCTTTAGGTAAGTTTGCCTACAACAATTATGTCAATCGAACTACAGGTCTAAGTTCCGCCGAAATTGTTTACAGATACCAACCTAGACAACCAATAGATCTGATCCCTATGAGTCATAAGTATAGAGCATCTGAGTCTGCATCTGCATTTGCATCCCATCTCCAAGAGTTGCATAAGAAAATTAATAAAAAAAATTAAACAAAGCAATGCTAATTATAAGCTGCATGCATATCTCAAGAAACGACTCAAAGAATTTGAAGTTGGAGACTTTGTAATGGTTCGGATTCGCCCGTAGCGGTTCCCACAAGGGACCGTTAAAAAGTTACATGCGAAAAGTGCAGAACCTTTCAAAATAACTTCAAAAATAAAAAGTAATGCTTATGTGCTAGATCTTCCTGAAGGTTTTAACATTAATCTTATGTTTAACATTGAAGATCTAATAGCCTTTGAGGGTCCCGAATTTAACCCCTCCAATCCACTAACTAAAGAGACTTGTGCGAACCCACCTTGTGAGAACCCTAGCCTACCTCCACTCCCAAAGATCCCTATCTTACTCACTGCGGAGAAGGTTGAAGCAATACTTGGTGATGAGAATATTTCCACTAAAGACGGTGGCCGCCGAAGGTATCTAGTTCAATGGACAGGGAAACTGGAGACAGAGAACACGTGGATTGATCATGAGGAGATGCAGCAATTGGATCCTGATCTGTTGGAGTGGTATAAGAGTTCTAGAGATGCTGACTTGACGGGGTCGAGTTTTCTCCCACCTGGGGAGAATAATGAGGACATCGTCAGAGATTCAGACACGTGTACCGACGACAAAATCGTAGATTGACGGCTACGATTCAACGTCTCTATTTTTTATGCATTTCTTTATGTTTTATTTAGTTTTGTTGTTTCCCAAAGGTACCCCCATGGGGAAGTGTTTTATTGTTGTAGCCCAGAGGGCAATTATGTACTTTTCTTTTTTCATGTTTGGAGACCTATATATAGTGGTCTCATGTGTTGTAAAAGGATGGTGAATGATTAAGTTAATTTTTGTTGTCTTCTTCTTGTTAGTGCACTGGAGAGAAGGGAGAGCCCAACGTGTAGGCAAACGCAATACCCACCAATCACCGGAAGAGTCTGTGGCTCGTGGTCTTCTTCTATGTTTTCTATTCTATCTCCGATTATCACCCACCGACTTCTCGTCATCCCTCCACTTTCATCCCACCACCAAAATACCCCTTGATCCCCACCTAATTCCCCTTCCACAACCCCACCCGCCGACCTAGGTCTTGGCCACCTCAACCCAACACCAAGCCCACTTCTTCCTTCTTGATTGCCGGCCCCATCCACATCCCAAATCATTATGATGATTTTAATCGTCATAATGACTCCCTAAATTGGCTCTTGCAATAAATAAATGAGTTAGAAAATTTTGAAATTCAAATTTGAAATTCAAAAACTTTCCATATTTACAAAATTCTAAATAAGGAAAGTTTTTAAATTTGAATCCAATCTAAATTTAATTTAGAGAGGAATCATTATTTTCCCTCCTAATTGGCCCTAACTTGTTTGGAAAGTGCTTAACTCCCCCCAATCCTCTCCCCTCTCCCCCTTAATGCCGTCGGCCCCATACATGGGAATTTTCCCCTTGGCTTCCTAATGAGGCCTCTCCCTCTTTAATTTTGAATCCAATTTCAAAATTAATTCCCTCCAATTCTACTTAAAATCTGAAACTAATTTCATATTTGGATTAAAACTTCCCTCCTCTCTTCAACCTAACCTAAGTCATCTCATTCAAGCCACCTTTCTGCTTTCCCCACCTTGGCCTCCCCTTCTCTTGTGCCTCCCCCCTTGTGAAACCCTAGTTTGCTCATGATACTCGAAGCCAAGAGAAGAAGACGACCTCCTCTCCCAATCTCATCATTGGCGCATGGTCGATCCTGAGATCGACCACAGATTTGTTTTCGACGGGCAAGGACGGACGGATATTCTCGGATCCCCATTCTTTGACGTGCACTTCAGCAACGACGAGAAGGTCGAAGGATACATCGACCGCATCCTATATCAACTGACACTATCAATCGAGGAGCACATCCGTTCGGGTCGTTGGATAATAGTCGGTCATCCACAACTTCCTCCACCGCCGGCTACCTCTCCACCGACGAAGGCCCTCGATGCCATCTTCCTAGTGGTAATCTCTTTCCTCGTGTGCTTCGTCCTCCTCCGCTAAAGCCTAAGAGTGATTGAGTGTGAAGGAACTCTTAGTGATTATATCATAATGTTACACCGTGGATTCTTGTTTACTTGCTATTAGTACTACTATCTTATTTTCGTTGCTATTGCGATTGTTTTGCAAATCTTTTGTAACTGCTTGCCATTACTTAATCTTTTCATGAAAGTTCTAAGAATTTAACTTGGGTGAAACATAAGTTACTAATTAGCAATATGTTCATGTTCAATAATTATTGTTACAATCCAAAGCAACTCTTCCGCATGTATGTTTCACATCACTTCTACATCAATAAATCTTCAGAAAGTTTAGTACTGGTCCACAAAACCTAGTTTGTAATTCAATTCAATTTCCTGCAACTCTTTTAACACATATCTTCTCCATCTTGTTTATTCTCTACACCATCCACCTCACCAAACACTAATTGGAGGTACTCCATTACAAGAAGGAATGACTCATTTATGTTTTACTTGTATAAGGCCAACCTATCACAATAAGCATAACAATATTTTCTTCCGCACTTGCAATCAAGGGTATCCTTAACATTGATTGACCTTCTTAATGTTTCATAGATCAAAGCCCATCATAATCTTGGCAGTAAAAACATACAATGCATACACATACCATTTACATTTAGTTGGAGAAGAAGAGTTGTTTTAAATCATTCCCCAAAATTCTAGTCAAGGATCTAATGGGGGTCTACCATCAAACTGCACTGATGCCAGCCAATCCTGAATCACTATACCATCCAATTTACCTAATCATACAAGTCAGACCATCCTCTTCCTTTTCTTCTCCAAAACTAAAGCAAAAAATATGGGAAATAATAACATTTTTCTTACGTCAAATATTCTTTTGAACTATCTCCACCAACAATGATGAAAAACACTAAATGAACAGGATACCTTTGTCTTTGCAGCTAAACGGTAAATATCAGCAACTTCGGATTGCTTGTGGTGTTTAGGATATGCTACTTGCCCATAAAGATCATATTTGTCAATCAATTTGAGTACAGCAGTTAGTACAGCTCCATTTGTACCTGACATATCATCAATAGCATCCCGATTGCCCATTATCAATGTCTGCAATAACAGAAATTCGACAATAGAGTTAGCAACAATACAACAACATTTAGAGAAACTGAAAATAATCCGCAAACATGTGCTGCAAATGACTAGAATGAAGGAAAAAAGGTTCTCCCCAAGAAAATTAGAAGCATAAACATCAAACATGTAATGCTACCCTGCTGTTTATTATTTAGATGGGGGACAATTGATTTACCAGATTTGCAAGCTCCCTTAATGGACGATATTCTCCAAATGCTTTCACCAGTGTCAGAATATTTTTTTTTGGGTCAGGTCGAGCAAGAGCAAGAATCATGGGTTTACGCGGATTAGTGAAAAACCTCATGATCTGCAAAATATGATAACTAAATCAGGTTAGAATATTCTAACCCAGAAGAAAACCATTACAAACCCTATCATGATATAGTGATGATTTTTCACAGTAATCAGATGATTAGAAAATCTACATGGTTCCACTCAAATAACAAATAGTGCACAAACCTCGGCCCAAATTGGAGGATCAGGTGAAGGTGGATTCTCTTCATTTCCATCTACATCACCATCAACGTCACCATCATTTACAACTATATGATTGAATTCCATTCCTGGGGGAATCACCTGCAAATCAGTACATGTTAGCTTCTTGAACTAAACAACACAATTTGGATAGCATAACAGAAAACAATAACGCACAAAGACCAACAACAACAACATCAAGTTTTTGTCCCACTATGTGGGGTCGGCTACATGAATCCTTTTTCTCCATTGTGTCTTGTTAAAAGTCAAATTATCATTTAAATCTAATAAAGAAAGAAATTTGTCTAATAATCATAGCATGAATAACGCACAAAAACCAAGTTATTAAAAATAGCTTAACTTAAAACTAATGCAAGCAGCACACAAGAGCTGGTCTTTTGAGCAAATCCAATAATAAAATATTTTCAAAAGCATTCGGAATGCTACTAAGCAACTATTTAGTTGACATATACTTACAACCATACGAGGCATGAAACGACCATAGCAACTGACACCTCGTTTAATTCTAGCCCGTAATTTCCTCTCAAGAATAACATCAAATCCATCATATAAGCACCACTGCTCGTCTATTTCCTGCCTAGTACTTGTAATAACAATTTCAGAGGCATCAAGAGCCAATTCCTCAGCTTCAATTCTACGGTTTATCTTATAAGTTTCATTAATTTCATCCCGGGTCATACGTCCTTGTTTCAGGAGTTGTTCGAGCTTATCTCTGCCCAAAGAATGACCTGTGAAAATCATTGGTACATTCAATGCCCCAGACAGGAGGGCGGCGGAATCACCAGCATCAGCATAATGACCATGAATTGCAGCTGGCCATACAGGTTGCCCCCAACCAATTTGCTCTCCTAAGACTTTGGACATCTGCATGATGTGGCTCAATGCACCATCCACAAACTCCTGAATATATGGCCAGAGAAGCTCTTTGGGAATATATTTATCTCTTGGACCAAATGGTATTCGTACTATATAAGCACCGCTGCTCTCCCCCATTTCATGAAAATTTTCAGAATAACTAGGAGCTAACATCTCTGTGGGCTCCCCATAGCTCCAATCAACATCTGGAGCAGATATTTGCCGAGTCAGCAAATCGACTCGATAAACTCCAGGCATTGCACCTAATGCTCTGGCAAGCTCTACAACATATTTGACCTGTTGAAAAATGGAAACCATCACATAGCCAAGTAATACAATAAATCTGATCAATTAACAAAAGAAACAATCTCAGAAATTGAGGATTCACAATAGCAGACAGCTTTTAAAAAGAGTAAAACAAATCATCAGATTCATGATATTAGAAGTGACCGTTTTTAACCTATTTGAAACAATTACAAAAACCCATTACTGGCTGATAAAAGAATTTTCATGCCAATATTACCTGACCACCAGTGTCAGAATCTCGACCAAGCTCCATATTTTCACCACGTATCAGACCATGAATGCTGCATGCAAAAAAAAACTGCATTAGAAGTTCCATTAAACACAATGAAGAATGCCCGCAGAGATATTGGTCCGCAAGCTATGCAAACTTCGTTCATGATAAAACGTCATTTGTCTGTCCAATTGCCTCAACAACTTTTGTGGACTGAAGAATCATGAGTATCCACTGAAAAGTAGACTTACGTAGATAATATAAGAGAAATGCACACATGTGGTCACATTCTTTGCAAAGTTTTGATATGCTCAAAATAATAAAGAAAGAATAAATGGAGAAAATAAAAATCCTGTTGTAATGAATCCAGGAACTTGAGCATCACAACTGCGAAATCCCTTAGTGTCGAACGCTAAATTTAACCTAAAATGCCAATTATAGTGGAATTCACATAACTTGCTTAAAATAATGGATTACAAAAATTAGGCAAGCAGGAAAATCATCAAAAATCTGCCTAGTAACTGCAATGAGTTTATAAATCATGGTTTATCTAGCTAACAAGTAAAATAATATTAATTAAAAAACCAAAATTAGTGTAAAAAATATGAGCTATATGATATATTTGTATGACTTTGCCAACATCAAACCACAACATAATTGAATATTTCCACTTCAAGAATTCTTTAATGAGATGCTAATATGCACAGTAGATTTGGTTTTTGTTCATTAGTAACAAGAATGTTACAACTTATATCTAAGCATCATATAGATAATTCAAAATAATTTGTAATGTGAGTTAGCAGAAAAATCACTGATACTACCTGATTAATACTATGTACAATTTTTTGTCTTTAAGCTGACTTGCCCAAGCATCAAGAGCATCAATTGAGCTGATCCTAGGCATTCTGCCTCTTGTGCTATCTCCATGGGAAGACAGCTCACTAACAGTATCTCCTTTCTCTCCTTCTGACAAATCTTCAGACATGTCTGCAGTAGCATCTCGGCGGCCTCTTTCACGTTCTAATCGGCGCTTCGACAAGCGTTGGGCTTCCTCTCCTTCAATCTGAAGAAATATAGATGAAGGTAATAGCATATTCAATATGTGGGAATCAAGGAGCATTCCTTATATACAAAAACCAACAAAATTAGCATGAATAGCATTAGGGGCATAAAAAAAGGCAAAATAATGACATTTATTTTTATGTAAAATGTGAGTTTCTTCATTTATGCAACATTCACAAAAAGTAGGCAGGAAATAGAAATCAGTGGATTTCTTCATTTATGTTTATGTAAAATGGACAGATGCACGATGGCACAACCATCCCCAGAAGCCATTGCACATGGCATATAGTGTGGCATGCAGTTCTAAAAGAATTGGAAATCATAAAATTCATAAATAATTTATTAATAATTCAGCAATATAATAAAAAGCATCCTAAAAAATAATAAACATATAATCTGTAATAAGTAGAACACAGGTCATCAAGAGATAATAATGAATATAAACAATCATGGCAAAGAAAGCAAATACACTGGAAAATAAAATGATCATAATGGTTGCAATAAATAACATTAGGCCAAAATACAGGACATTGGAGCTTTGTCTTTCATAAACAATGATGGCATAGATATTGTGAAGGATATATTTGTGCGCAAGGCACAAACAATAGTTTGTTTGAAAACAAAAAATAGTTTGATTAAAAACTAAGCCACTCATTCTTAGAATGATCATCTCATACATCAAAATAGCCCATCTTTTTCATCGTGATCATCTCCTACATCATAATCTTCTTCATCATCCGTATCTTCTTCAACAAAAATAGCCTCAAATCTCTTGAACCAAGCAAATTTGCATGTGCTGTTGCACTATGCCCCATCGAAATTAAAGCAGAATCAGGACGAAAAATTATTCTGTGCGGACACCAGACAGCTAAAGTCAGGAGCCCAATGAAAATGAGCCACGTCACCTAGTACCGAGTTGCGGTACCGAGTGACGTGGCATATTTTCATTGGGCTCTGGACGGCGTTCTGCGTCCGCACAGAATAATTTCTCCAATTATGACGTGATATTTTCATTATCTACATCCTGCAATGCCTCATTGTGCAGGGCATGCTATTTTCATTATCTACACCTTGCAATGCCTCATTGCCTTGTCAGCCATAGTGCATGCTATTTTGTGCTATAGATAATTATAAAACAAGCCACAAGCAGAATGCCCCATTTGTCATGATGATGACAAAAATTAAAGGCAAATAACATGACCGTTACTAAAAATACCCAACACTAAAATCAGCAATATCAAGAACCCACGAAGTAAACCATGTTGTTGTTTTAGGAAAAAATTCCATTGAAGTGAAATAATGCCCTGCTGTAAGCCATTGCAGTTTTTGCATAAAGGATGCAATAAGTGTGCAGTCTTTATGATAGATGCAGTGAAAAAAAAAAAAACAAAGAACCATATGTTCAATGTATTATAAATATTTTGTGTTCTTGGGAGGATAAAGTATTCTTTTGCATTGAAGGGACGTGAACAAAATGGATAGCAGTTAAAAGATAAATACTCTTGTTTAGGTAAAAAGTATACTAAAGAAAACTAGTAAACAATCTAAAATACTGCCACTGCAGTGACAAAAATAATGGAAATAAACATCAAAATGTTCAAGGTAACTCTCCATCGAAAGATGATTCATCAGAGTCTCAGAGCTAAAAAGAAAAATTCAAAACATGACGCACAAAAAGTTAAGAAGTTGGATGCTGAAGATAATATAGGCATACCACACAATCATAATGAGATTTAGGTCGCCTATGCCAACCTAGTAAAAGCATTATAATCAAACTTCTCACCATTTCACCAAGTTATGTAGATGTACAAAATGGAAAAAAATTCATATAAAATTTTTCTTCCCTTTTTTTTTTTCTCTGGCCAGAAATTGGAATGCTTGTGCATTGCGTTAAACATAAATTCCAAAATTAACTGAAAGAATAGCAAGCACGATTCAAACGTATAATTTTGCACCATGAATCAGTTTAAGAGATGAACAATGAAATAAGAAAATGGTTCACAAAATTAAATTTTGATTCAATTTGATATAAATAAATCTTCAAAACAACAAAAAGAGTCCAGTTTAGCTGCTTTTATGCAAAATGAACTGCGTCAGGCTGGATCATAAAATTTATTTCGCCAGCAATTAAGAAAAAAGTATAACCAGTATTTCATTAGTGACTCTAACCAAAAAAAAATACTGAAATAATGACAGAGCTACCATCAAAAGCAGCCATAACGGTACTTGAGGGTTTTAAAAACAATTTTGGAAAGAACAAACGATTAACGTCCACTTGAAAGTAGCAGCCACAATTACAGAAAAATGAAAACTGAACCAATTTGGCAAATATAAACGAAACCCAACAACTCAATTCCCAATCTGTGACAGAAAGATAAATCAAAACAAAGCTTTGCTCCGAACAGCAACAAATAAATCAAACCTGCTTCTTCTTGCGGGCAAGGTTCCAAATTCTCCAACACATATTCTCCAATCTCGTATTCCTCTCCTGCGGACTCCTCGTCGCCGCCGCCTACCCAAATTGCAAACCAAAAAAGTGTAATAGCAGAATCAGTTCAATCCCAATCCCAAGCTCAACCCCATATCTATCACCGCCCATTTTAACAAAAAGAATAAACGAGACGACCCCTCACCCGAAGCCATGACTTGTAAAGATCGGTTTCATCGAATCCAGTGATGACCTCCTCCACGAAGTACTTCGTGGGGCTAAACCTCCCCCTCTCTCGCAACAGCAGTGAGGACTTGGAGGCATCGATTGCCGGCCCTGCATCCAGAATCGCTTCCAAATAGCTGTTTATCCAGTCGTTCCCCGCCATTGCTAAGAAAACAGAACTGAGCACCGAAGCACAGGAGATGCGTCCGCTTTCAGAAGACCAGTGATCCCTGAGAACTAGATACGGGTTTTTCTTCCTTATTGTCTTGAAACGTGAATTTATAGTGGTGAGAGCGAGAGAGATAGAGAGAGGGAGATTACAATGCCAAATGCCAAGAGAGAGGGTGATCCGGAAATTGAAGAAACGGCGGAGAAAAGTTACCGCAGGTTTATCGGGAAGGATTCGATGGCGAGAGTTGCAGTAAAAGTGTAGAACAATAAAAAAAAGAAAGGATGGGTGCTTGCTTGAGAAATATTCGGGAATAATGCTTGCTGATATTTTTATTACGTGCGGAATTTGGATTGTTTGGACTTCAAATCTTCAATAAAATGTTCATATTTGGCCGAAATATATATTTTTTATATTACTCAATATTTATTGAATATTTATTAATTATTTATTATATATTTGTTGAATATTTATTGTATATTTAATATTCAATAAATATATAGTAAATACTCAATAAATACTCAGTAAATATTATATAGATATTCAGTAAATATGCAGAGTTCGAACACAACTTTACGTCTCGACTCCGCACATAATAATTTCTCTATAAAATTGACCATCTCATTAATTAGATTCAAATTAAACTAAAAAAAATTAGGTTCAGATTAATATGTTTAATAAATATGTTGGATTCAGATTATGCATTTCAATCCATTTATTAAAAAAATTGAGCTGGAATTGGCACGACAACCTAATTTTATTTTATTTTTTCTGAAATTCTTTTATTTATTAATATAGTCTTTTTATTTTTTATCAATTAACTTAAGATATATGGTTAACAAGTTAATAAATATATTATTTAATCAAAATGGATTATCGGGTCAGGTTTATGTATCTAGCAGGTCAAGTTCATGTCCACCTTTTTTTACTCATTTTTTAACGAATCATGTTCGAATCAATTGGATTCATATCGAGTCAAATCCAAAACCCAACTCGTTGACCTGTTTTGACACCTCTATAATGATTAGTCATGAATTGTAAAATACTTGATTTTTTTATAGAATTAAATAATAATTTCAATATATTATTTTTTTGGATAAATTGAGGGCTTGGCCCATTCTATTAAAAGAACTATATATTACAAGGAAAAAATAATTAACTTAGCCAACAAAAAGAGGCTAAGACAAAAAGCTACAAGTAATAAATACAATAAAAGAGAAAGAGGCAAAAACAGACAGAAAATCTGTCTGGGCGGAACTCAGAACTAGCCAAAGCGATCACGAATAATAGTCTAATTCTCCTTGGTTGCCTGAAAACCATCCAGAAGGAGGTAGTAGGCGTCATCATCATCCATGGCCCAAAAAATAGCCTGCTAGAATAAAAACGAGCGACCAAGCCAAAAAATAGCCTACCATAGTAAGAATCGTGTTCTCTAAATAGGGTTTGGGCAGCAAAAAGATGCCACTAGAGAACCAAAACACCCAAGGACCATCCAGCTAAGAGAAGGAAAAAAATTCTCCGAGCAAAGAAGCCTTATAGTAAGCAACCCAGCATAATTTTAACAGACAAAGAGTAGTTTAGCAAGAATGAACTTCTAGGTGAAAAGTCAGCCAATGCATGAGCCAAGAAACAACAACAATAGCCAAGGTAAACAGCAAATTAATAGCATGTTGGGCAACAAACAAATGCCACCAACAAACCCAATCATCATCGGTCCAGGAAAAACACATAACGATTAGCAACCATACATCAAATTTGAGCAAAACCCCAGCAATTCCATCAGTGTAGCAGCAAAACAGAGCCATAACAGTCAGGGGTACCTCAGACGTAAATGTTCTTTAATAAAATTCCCACATTTCAAACTCTCAAGTTTGAGATAGACAACTCTGGAAATCTTTTTGGATAGAGAGACAGCACAGACAGCTCTACCATTAAACTTTCGATTGTTTCATTCAATCTATGTATAATAAATAATGGCATGAAAGAAAAGAAGAATCCCATTCTTAACTTTATAATGCATATTAAGACCATCAATGTATTGAAGAGCTTGGGCTATGTTCAGTCTCAAAAGGAAGTTTTTAAACTGAGGAATGAGGAGAACTATAACAGTATAAGTGTAATCACATTCAAAGAAAATATGAGCAGTATTTTTATTATGTATATGGCAGAGAGAGCAGGAGTGATCCTCAATATGAATGTTTCTCCTAGAAAGGGCCTAGGCTGTTTTGAGACCCCCACATAATGCCAATTAGGTATAAATAAAGAACCTAAGAGAGTATTTTTTAGGCCACACCAAATGATGCCAGTCAACAAACGAATTAGCAGCAAAAAATTCAGAATAAAAGTCTTTGAATGAGGCGTTTTCATCATTGTCCCAAGAGATATGCCTAGAGAATGAATTAGAGATATGAATGGTCTGAATAGCATTTTTATTATTTTGGCTAAGTGCATAAGGTAAAGACCATTCAGTACCAATCATCCAGGTCTTTAAAGAAGCACTTAAATTACCTAGATAGCTGTTAATCTCTTCAGGGAATCTATGAGAGAAGCATTCATTGAAACACCAATGATCCCACCAAATGGCAATAGGACTATTGGGGGCAACATAGAAGTAGACATTATTTTTAAATATGACAACAGTGAAACAGATACTCTTCCAAAAAGCATAACAGAGCTGAGGACAAGGTTTCCAAGGTGAATAGTATCTTAACCTCAACCAACAGGACAAAGGGGAGTCCTAATTATACATCATAAGAATCATTCCACAGTTAAAAGCAGATTTTAGAGCAAGTAAAAATGCAATACCAAGACCCCCTCTAGAAGTAGGTCTAGTGGTATTCTTCTGAGAGATGAGGTGCAGATGTTTGGATTGGGAGCCCCCATGGTATAAGAATTTAGAACAAGCCTTGCCAATAGTCTTCATGATGGTTTTTGGAATGATAGATCCACGAAGCCAATAAGCCACCAAATTAGAGATAGTGTATTTGAGGAATTGAAATCTACCTGCAAAAGAGAGCAATTTTGCTTTCTAGTCAGAAAGCAGGTTAATAACTTTTTCAATCAAGGGAGAGAAATCAGCGAGCCTAGATCTTCCCATAGAGATGGAAAGACCCAGATAGGTCATTTTGGTGGAGCAGTTATGGATGTGGAGTGCAAGGGAAATACTAAGGACATTAGAAGCTTGAGGGGAAAGCATGAGAGAGCTCTTTTGAAGATTGAGATGTAAGCCAGATACACTAGAGAAATGGTTCAAAATGCCCAGGCAATTGCTAATATCCGCTTTCCCAAATACAAGGATGTCATCCGCATAAGAGAGGTGGGAAATGTGGAAAGTATCATACTTAAAACCTTCAAAGCTGCTGGACTAAGAAGTGTCATCAATGAGGCAGGAGAGAGCATCCATGATAATACAAAATAAGTAAGGGCTAAGAGGACAACCTTGATGAAGGCTAGTGCTGGAGCAAAAGAAACCTTCAAGCCCCCCATCAATGCAAATAGAGAAGTAAGTCTCCTTAATACAAGCTTTGATCCAGTTGATAAAGATGGGAGGGAAACCCTTTTGGACCAATATAGAGTAGAGGAAATCCCTTGACACTGTGTCAAAAGCCTTCTTAATGTCAAGTTTTGCACATAAAAACTTATCTTTATTCCTCTTGGAAAGAAAACCAAGAATTTCAGCCACAAGAATAGGATTCTTAGTAGATAGCCGGTTAGAGATGAAGACAGTTTGACTCTTGTGAATAATAACAGGCATGATAGATTTCATTCGAGTGACAATAATTTTGGCAATGATCTTGTGGAAAACATTGCAGAGGGATATGGGCTGAAGACATGTATAGAACTGGCATGCAAATTTTTGGGAATGAAAGCAATTGCAATTGCTTTGACCCAATTGGGAAGGCAGAACTTAGATAAAAAGGATTTGACAGCTTGACAAACCAAAGGCCCAGTGATTGCCCATGTTTGCTTGTAGAAAGCAAAGTTAAAACCGTCAAGTCCAGGTGCTGAGGAGGAGCATCCAGAGGAGATCGCCACAAAAATTTCATCATTAGTGACAGGATGGATAAGAGATCTCTTGGCTTCATCATTAAGAAAATTACCAAACGGAATGTTATCCAGGTCAGTTATAATATATTTAGGGGAGTTATAAAGGTTCTTGAAATGCTCAACAATACCAGCCACATTGGAAGCTTGAGAGTGCTCATGATCACCAAAGGAAGCATGGAGGATGCTTTTATTATGAGATTTTCTTTTGTGCAATTTGGAATAAAGAAATTTAAGATCCTCCTCCCCAGTTTTAAGCCATTTGACTTTAGATCTTGGCATGGTCCAAGCAGCCCATAAGGAATTGTAGTAAGCAAGATCCTTATTAACTTTCTTAAGGTTCCTGCAAAGAGAAACATTGAGAGGATCCACATAAATAAGCGACTGATAATGGTTCTGGAGGGTGGACAGTTCAGCACATTTGGCTTCAATGAGATTAGAAGTCTCCCCAACTCTTGGTTTTAATTCCCTCCTTCAGAAGTTTGAGCTTGTGGTATAAGCTAATGATAGGGTTCCCTTGCGAGGGGGAAGCAAAAATAGAGATAAGAATCTCCCAAAACTCTAGAATCTTGCACCAAAAATTCTTGAACATAAATCTCTTATTGTTAGGCTTAGAAAGACCCATTTTTAGAATAAGAGGCGAATGGTCTGATATAAGACTGTTGCCAACATTATACAAAGAGTTGGGGAAAGAAGTGGTCCAAGCATCATTAGTAAGAACCCGATCCAACTTAATGTGAATAGGGTTAGCCTCTCATTGATTAAACCAAATGAACTGGTTGCCCGTGGAAGGGAGGTCAACAAGGCTTGTATCATAAATAAGAGAATTGAAAGGGGCCAATCTAGAAACATGTAATTCATTCCCGCTAGATTTCTCAAATGGGTAACGACAAGAGTTGAAATCTCTAAGCACAACCCAAGGCATAGAATTGTTTTGTGAGTAGCTCTGAAGCTCGTCCCAAAGTAAGTTGTGCTCCTCAAAGGAGTTTGAGGCATATACCATCAAAAATAAAAAACTGTGGTTGAGTGTTGTTGGTAACAATTCTAGTAATAACTTGCTTGGATATAAAGGATTGTTGAAAGGAAATATTGTCAGCATTCCACTTGAACCAAATCCAACCAGGAGAAGCTAGGTCAAAATTGTTGCA